CCGGAAGTGGCGCTGTGGTTCAAGTGGTAGAGCGCTAGCCTTGAGCTGAAGAGCTGAGGGACAGCGCCCAGGCCCAGAGTTCAGGCCCCACAACCGGACTCCCCCCAAAAAAAGAAAGAAAGCATTGTTGTCTCACTTATTTTACAGGTAGAAAAACTGAGCCTAAGGAGGTGAAGTGAAAGGACTAAGGTCATAGCACTAAGAAGCATCAGGGCTGGCGTATTAAGCAGACAACGTTACCCCTGCGCTCCTAGTCCTACTCACTAAACTTTAGATTCTACAGTGGAGACAATCAATGTCATAAATTTGCTAACAGGAGTTTCACTGCAATGCCTGGCACACAGGAAGCATTTATCAAATGACATTATTGCAAACATTAATAAATGACAACCATAGTAAAGCCCTTAATTTAGTAGACTTCTCCCCACCCCCAATATACTCTATCGCAAAGTCCTGAACACAGACACTGGAATGGCTGGGTATTTAATAAGACACTTTAAGGGAATGGGAAGGTGGCTCAGCAGTAGAGTGCTTGCCTTGCATGCCTGAGGCCCTGGGTTCGATTCCTCAGCACCACATAAGCAGAAAAAGCCAGAAGTGGTGTTGTGGCTCAAGTGGTAGAGCGCTAGCCTTGAGCTGAAGAGCTGAGGGACAGCGCCCAGACCCAGAGTTCAGGCCCATGACTGACAAAAATAAATAAATACAATAAAATAATAAGGTACTTAAAGTGTTCTTTGTCCATTTAGATTGACTCTTTGAAAATGGCTTATTAGATGAGGTTTCTATAGCTGAATCCAAACAGTAAGAAAGAAATGGGATCAGGCTTCTAAAATAAATTCTAGGTAGGCAACTTAGCAAAATAAAAATTGAAGAGACAGCCCTGTCCTCCAAATAAAGCGCAAGGAGGCACATTGTTAAAGTCATTTGGAGCTGGCCTGGTCCACACTCTCACCATCGGAATGCTCTGGCAGGGGCTACGGAAGGGACTGGGTTAGTTAACAGGGCTTTTCATCCCTGATTTTCTACTTGAATGGGCAGCTCCCTCAAACCTGAGTTTGGACATTCATCCAACTGGCCGTGTGTGAGTTCTGCCTCTATATGCCATTAACATCAAGTTAAGCCAGTGGGGCCACAGTGTTAGCAGGAAACGACAGATTTTCTAAGGGAACAAACCCAGCAGAAATATTGAAGAAGGTTAACTCCTCAGAACAGTGTGTGTGCGAAGGGGTGTGAATTAGCTAATGGAACTCAGGGATCAGACTCTGCTTGGCCAGCTGAGGAAGTCTGACCCACATTAGCAGTCCTGACTAGCTGGTTGTAATGAAATAAACTCAAATCTCTGATTGTTTGGTCAGGAAAAGATGGTCACATTACCTTTGCTAGGAGGACAAATGAGCAATTCAGTGAAGATGTTGACAGTATCAGAGCTCTCTTCCAGCCAGGGAAGAGTTATGGCTTAAAGGAAGGGACCATCTCAGAGAGGATATTTCACCTCCTCAATAAAATAATTTTCTGTCCTGTCATTGCCCCAATCCAAACAGAAGGATAGAAGTGTTCCAGTAGAACTTTAAGTGCCTCCTTTGCTTCATGGAATCATAAAGAGTGTTTCAGGCTATCTTCTAGAAAGACCTGACCATGGGACCCTGTAGAAGACACTAGAATAATTTGTGCAACCATGCTAGGACACACAACCCTAACCCCATTCAAACTCCTCTTCAAGTGGTTATTTGAAATGTGGAAATGCGAAACTCCAGATCTGTGGGAGGTTATAGACGCTATAATGTATTGTCACTCATATTTGTAAAAACAAAAATCCTGTTGAAACAACATTGGAAAATGGCTTGAAAACCACATAAAATATACTTGTACTTATCTGTAATATTTTAGTGATGGCAGACACAGTGCTTCTTTTGCTTATCATTGTTCTCAGTGCCTAGAAGAAAGATGCAAGTGAACAACGAGGATCAAAGGAAAAGTAACCCATCAATTCCTGCGAAGAGTCTAAACCTTAGTCCTAGGATAGTCCAGTGGATACTTGAGTTATGATCTTGAAATAATTTCTATGTATTTTATGAGCAGAGACACTAATTCCCTGTGTTCTGGATGAAATGTTTTGCAAATAGCCTGAAAGAAAGAAACTCTTTTTCTAACTCCTAAAGGTAATTTCCCGGAGTCAAACAAAATTCATGGTTATTGCCTGTCATCCAGCATTCAAGTTCCCTAAGCTTAGTGACCCTCTCCTATGATGTAGCCCATGGCATATGCAGGTGTGACCTGTAGCTATTTGTGTTGTCATGTAGGAACTAGGACTCTTTGTACTGATGGGCATTCAGTCTACCACTATTGCTGTAAGTAAACAATTGCCCTTTGTCTTTGACTGAGGAGTCTTGCTTCTCATGGCAGTAGCCAGGAACTATGAATGTTAACTTGCATATAAAGCAAAATCATAGTCTTGACAACAACAAATCATAGTGTTGGCCCACTTTAAAATATCTCATTAGCTCTTTGTAGTGCTTTCATGTAATAACTACAATGAACTCCACTGTAAGAATCAGCTAAAATCTGCTACTGTATATAGAGAAAGAACTGCCAAGCCTTGTTTATTAAATAATATTCTTTTGTGTATGTGTGTGTGCCAGTCCTGGGGCTTGAACTCAAACCGTAGGTACTATTCCTGAGGTTATTTGGCACAAGGCTAGCCCTCTACCACTTGAGTCACAATGCCACTTCTGGCCTTTTCGGAGTCATTTATTGGAGGTAAGAGTCTCACGGGCTTTCCTGCCCAGGCTGGCTCAAACTGTGATCCTCAGATCTCAGCCTCCTGAGTAGCTAGGATTACAGGTGTGAGCCACCAGTGCTCAGCTCATTCATTTTTTAAACACTCTAGAGAAAATGTTAGACTGTTCTTTATGTCAAAAACCCCCAAAACATTGTGAAATTGTTTCTGTAACTAGGTTCTGTAACCATGGTAACCAGGTTTCTCTGTGGAGATTGCTAGAAAAACAGGGCCAAGCCAGTCCCCCTCCCATGCTAAGTGTATAGGTCTGTGCTATGTGCATTTCTTGACATCATTCTTGGCTATAATTTTCATCTCCACCCTTACTTATTGCTTATTTTACTTGAGTCTTAATTTATGTGATTTTGTAAGTTGTTTTCATTTGTTTCTGGAATGAGGTGAAGTCAAACAAACAAACTCCCATGCACAGGAGTTATGTCAAAAACACGTGTCAAAACAGGAGAAGTGTGAACCTATGACCTGCCATTGGTTTCTTCTTCACAAAACAGTAGACCTGAGTGAGCTTTTGGCATCACAATCATATGGCAACATTTCTTTATACATATTTTTCCTTAGGAAAAGGAAGACGAACTCCTGCATCTAAGGGACATGGAGAACCCAACTGCACAGAAGTGTCATATGATTTTTTTAATTCATTTTATGTTAGACTTTTATAAGTATTCAATATTAATCTCATTACTTAAAATGACACTTCAATATATCTAAATCTTTCAAATCTTGGAAATAAAATTCTTTGTATCTGGGGCTGGGAAGGTGGCTCAGTGGTAGAGTGCTTGCCTTGCATGCATGAGGCCCTGGGTTCAATTCCTCAGCACCACATAAGCAAAAAGAAAAAAGCTGTGGTGCTGTGGCTCAAGTGGTAGAGCACTAGCCTTGAGCTGAAGAGCTGAGAGACTGCCCAAGCCGAGAGTTCAGGCCCCACGACCGGACCCAAAAAAAAAAAAATTCTTTGTATCCACTTTGCCTCTCAGTCTACAGTTTTTAGGTACTAGTACACTAGGAACTATGGCAGGGTATTTTTTTAAGGTTTATAAATTTGCAATTAATAGTATACAAAGGTATGGTGTGGTTTCATAGGGATGTTAATAAAGCATGATTCATATTTGAAATGGGAAATCTAGTGTTCCATGTTTTCAGCCCAAATCTTGTTTCTATAATTACTGCACTGAACTAAG